ATATATATATATAACATATAAAACTAAACAACAATTATTATTACTAGTATATATATAATATAGTAAATATAATATAATGTGTATAAATATACATATATTTATACAAATTAGATGTTTAATTAATATAAATACAAATATTTTATATAACATAACATCAAAAAATATTTTTTATTTTAGCAATTGTATTATATAATTGTATATATTTTTTATAATTTAATAATTATTTTAAATATAAAAAGTGTTTTCCACCTTTATATATTTCGGACAAATTTATACAATGATATTTAAAAAAAGCAAATAAGCAAAATAAGGGTCTGCATGAAATAATTTTGTTATTTAGTTAGGACGGAGATTACTCTCCAAAAAAAAAAGCCTATTTACAAAGTGATTTGAGATTTAGATAATTTTCTTTCTGCAAAGCAATATTCTGAAGCACAGGTCAATGGAGTGCAACCAGCAATCTTGCTGGAAAGAGACGAAGTTTGCCCAATGCGGTTTCGTTTGACTTTTTCCAAGGACACCTTAATGCTTTCATAACAAATTTTCTCTGAATTTCACTGATGGATCGTCAAATACCCCCCCCCCCCCACAAAAAAAAAAAAAAAAAATAATGAATAGGGCTGGAGAACTCATCACGTGGTGAATAAGTGCTACCTAATAACAACTTTGAAATGCACTGAAAGCCAGGCTTTTCTGTATTCCCCTCGAGGGGTGAAGTTCAGGCTAACAACATGACCCAGCCTTGTTCATTATAAATCTATCGTTCTGCAATGTCAAGGCTGAAAAACTGGCCTGACGACAGTCTCAGTACCCTCATGAATTGGATTATGTTTTCATACTAACTTGCCGTGTAATCTCTTGACCTATTCTTCTCATTCCCTTAGTGTACAGGCTGACTTTCCAAACTTCTGAAAGGGTTTCAGAGGTGATGTCAAGAACATTGCAAAATGCTTAACAAATTACTTTTTATTTGGTCTGGGACTTGAAACAAGGTGCTATAAAAGGAACATATGAAAAGTCGAATGTGAGGTTACAACAAACCATATTTTGGCTCACAGGGGACGTGATTAAGGATGAACCAAAATACCTGAGAGATTTAAATTCAGCACAGCACACTAAGCAGTTCAGAAATATAATTGCATTCAAGTGCATCCTCGAGTGCGTAGTAAAGCATGCAGTTCATGTTCAATGCTTCCATTTGCATTAATATAAGATTATATTTGCATAAGAAGGAAATTGGTGAGACTTACCTGGGAGGCGCAAGTTGACCACCCTGTCAAAAAGGTTTCTTTCTGCCGTGACTCTATTTAACACCTGGTTCAGTAGCTGCAGAAAGACAATAAAAAACAAATGTTGTCAAACCTAAACTTAGTATAAAAAGAAATGTAACCA